TATTCCTCTGCCTATCCCTATTCCTCGCTCTCGCTCAGCTCCTACATGGCAATTTATTTAGCATTTTTATTGTGCTGCGTTTTGTTGTTCTGCTTTTTTTTTATGCCTGCCATCCATTTTTATCGTCTGTCGTTGTTTGCTGTTGTTGTTCGCGTGTTATTAGCTTTGATAACTCCCCCTCCCTCCCACCTGCGCACACTGGCCCACGACTTGCACTTCTTTTGTCTTCAGGCCTCACGCCCGCACCTTGGCACAGCATACAACAAATTATGCATGCAAAAATTACCTTCTTCTTCCTCTTGTTGTTGTTCTTGTCGCTCGACCACTCCTCTTGTTGTTGTTGCGCATGTTAGATTATGAGAAATTTATGCAATATTTGACATATATTTGGCGGCGTCAGCGCAAAGCCTTTTCAGTTATGTTCTAAATATGATTGTTTATATATCTTCAAATATTTTGCCTTTTACAAATTATTTATGGTCCATGCGAAACGAAAATTTCGGCAAATCTATCCATATGTTTGTATGTATGGGCTAGCTTTATTCAAGTATAGTAAATTCCATTTGCTTTTAGAGTACCTTAGGCCTTCGGTTACAATATAAATTCATTAAATTTCGGTCTAAAATTATAACGGAATATTTAATTTATTAAATGGGCAGAATGGTTCTACAGACTTCCAGTTTATATTCAATTCGGAAGTTCTCCCATAGAAATCTTTAAATTGTAACATATCCAGGTACTCAACGAATGGCCCATGACTATGATTTAGTCATTCTCTGTCGTTTCGAATGAGATACAGTGATGAAAACAGAAAAGTGAGTCTGTTCTGGCTAGAGATGCAGCCAACCCGCTGTGAATTCTGCCACCGTCGCTTGCTTTTGTTCCTATTTAAGCCAGTTGCGATTTGACTGTGAATTGTTTTGCCAATTTGGCAACGAAGATGAGCAAACAATTCAATTGATGTCAGAGCTCGGGCAGAACAGGTAGCATAGGTAGAGCCTGGACCCACCCAAGGTGAATTTGCAACAGGCCGAGCTCGGTCCCGGCAATTGTCACATTTGCAGTTGCTGGCGGCAAATAGAAAAGCAGCTTCAGTTGGGCAGAGAGTCTGGCAGAGTGTTGACTTCTGCGCACTGTTTGCACCTTAATTTACAATCTTTTGCGGTCAACAGTTGCCGCCTGCCGCTCACCGCTCGCCGCTCGCCGCCTGCCGCCTGCGGTGTCAAAAGATCTTCTCGAATTGCTATTGTCGATCTGCATTGGGCTTCAGTTTGAAGCTTTGCCTAACCCATATTCACTATGCACACACACTCACACACACATCAGGAGATCGGCGTGCGTGTGTCTTTAACCCATTTAGATTCGGAAGTTGGGCCTATCAAATGCACAATTCTTGTTCGCTTTTGACTTTGACCCCCGTGTCAATATTGGTTATGCTTAATGGCAATGCACTCGAACTTTACCGTTGGGCCCTGTTCCAGGTGCTACTCCCGTGGCGTTTGCCTTAATTTGATAGCTTGTTTTATTTGTGTGGAGCAAATAGCTTGAGTGATGGCCCTGACGCAGGGCTCGACCTGGTCCAAGCACTCTCCTACATTGTTCGCTTTTTGGCTGCCTCTCAGCTTGTTTTTTTCTCCTTTTCTCCCTTTATTTTTTGATGAAGTGTCACGCTGTCCAAGTTCAATTAGTTTTGTATGCCGCTCTTCAAAAGCTACGCCGATGTACGCTCTGTGCCCTGCCATGTTTAATGCCAAGATTGATTTTGTGTTGTTGTTGCTGTTGGTGTTGTAATTGCTGTTGTTGTTGCTGTGCTGTTTGTAGTGCTGCTTGCGAGATTGACATTTGACGTGCATAGAATTTGTCTAACTGTATTTCGCCTTTCGTGTGCCGTGTGACGTTCATTACAAGCCGTACCCAAGAGCTGGTCTCACCATTTTGCCGCTCAATTTCACGAGCCTTTCCTATGGCTGACCCATACTGGCCGTAAAAAATAATTTTTCTGCCTTTATAGATACGATATCTCACAATTTTCATATAAAAAAATATTTTTTAATTTTTAATACATTTTTTAATATTAAATTATTTAATTAGATTAAAATATGTTAATAATTCTTCGATTTATAGAAAAGTTACCCATAATTACAATATAATATCAGTAATTTTATCAAAATTGTAAGTCATAAACAAAAGACTTAGGCAACGAACTTGCACCTATTGGAAATAGTTTACGTGTGACAAATCTTACAGAGATGTTTCATCAAACTTTTTGCGAAAAGTGTTACAGCTGAGTCATGGCAGCCAAAAAAGATATATAAATGAACCAAAATAAAAACAAGAGTAAAATATCTTGATAAATTTATATATCATCGCATAAAATATTTATGCAAATAAAAAATTGCAAGTGGAATTCGTGGAAAAAAACTAAAAGCAAATAAACCTAAGTGTGTATGGGTGGGTCTCTGTTTGTGTTTGTGTATATGTGTGAAGAGCAAATCATGAGCCATGAACATGACCAACAATGCGGAGGCTGTGAGGCTGCTGTGCGAGTCGAGGGGAGACCAGCAGAAAGGCTAGTGACGCAGTTGCACTTGGTCAAAAGGCCAATGCGATGATGAGGCGGTTGCTGTTTGGTCTTATGCTAATGCCAACAATAACATCAGCAACATCAGCAACATCAGCAGCAACAACAACAACCACCATAGGAGTCGTGAGTAAAACAACAAAAATGTACACAACCTGTAAGTTTGGAGTTGTGGTCTGCGGTCTTCGTATTTCGTATCAGTATCTGTATCTGTATCTGTATCTGTATCTTCATCTGTATCTGTCCCTGTCTCTGTGTGAGCTTTCATTTTCGAAGCGATACCGTTAACTGCAAAGCGCTGGAAATAAACAGAAAGATCTAAAGAGGTAGCAAAGCAAAAACAAAATACAAAACGAAAAACGAAACAAAAAAAAAAAAACTCTAAACGAATGAGCGAACGAACGAGCACAGCAACCAGCCAAGAGCAACGGCTAAAGCAACAACAAGTGCGAATCAAGCTGACAAAGAGGAAATGCAACAACAAAATGGCAAATGCAGCGACGTCGACAGCAGCAGCGACGCCAGCAGCGACGGCAATATCGACGCCGGCAACTGTAATTGTTGCTCGCATGTTTACAAGGCGAAATAACAGGAAAAAATGTTAAATTTTTGTTAAGTAGGTCAAGTTGTGCTGCGCCAGAGCGAGATAGAAACGCCGAGTGCAACAGAGATAGCGCTAGCGCACTATACAGAGAGCAAAAGAGTAATAGAGCGAGCATCAAACAAGTATGGCCGCAGAGTTAGAACTTGCCAAACTTTTCACTCGAGCAAATGCCGAAATAAATTCAAATCAAAGAGATTAATAAATTTTATTGTTATTAATATTAGGGAAATTCAATAAAGTTTGCAATTATTTAGCAATTGGCCGCTCAAAGTTGACCCGCCTTGGCTGCAGCGCGCAACATAAACAAACTTAGCCCTGACTTTGACCGCCAGAGCAGAAGGCAACAGCGACCTCGGCACAAGCAACACCTGCGGCCAAACATGTTGGCAGCACAACATGTTGCAGCTGCCTCGCTCTCTGGCTAGCTGGCTGGCTGGCTGGCTGTCTGTTGGCTTCCTCGCTAGCTCATGTTGCTCACGCGGTTGCTCTCAGCTTGGCGTGCGCTCAGCAGCCAGGTGAGTAACTTCTTGTGATCGCTGCTGCCGTTGCGGCCGACGGCGCTGCTGGCGTCGCTGCTGGCAGCGACTTCTTGGGCCGCTGCGGCTCGAAAATTTCTTTTCGTGTTGCGCCTGCGCACAGTTGGCTTTCTACCGTTGACGTCTTCGGATTTGTGCGATTCTTGACGCGCAGCAGTTTTTAGCGTTGGTTTCGCGTGTGGCTTCCGATTCGGTTGTGGACGTGGACTCTCTCAGATAGACACTCACACACACACACACACATACATATACGCATATGTACAGATACACGCGCGCAGCATAATAAAAAGAGCAAGCAATAGAAATTGGAACAACCAATAAAAAAAGTGACCAGTTCAATTAAAAAGAGTGTGCTACAGCAACAACAACAACAACAACAGCAACAGTAACAACAACAACAACAACAGCAGTGATAAACATGTTAAAAATGCGTTACAAAAATTGTGAAAATGGTTGAGAAAATGTTGAGAGCAAAGCCAGAACTTGCTCCAGAAAGTGTTTAAATATCGAATTTATCCTATATACATATATAGAGAAGATATACATACAACCACAAAGCATATATGAAGAAGTGCAAGTGCAATCGGCCCGTAGTGCAATACAAATATTGAAAACAAGCAAAGGAAATACGCAAAAAAGTTAAAATTCAAACCAACAAATATAACAAAGATATATTACTATATTCATAATCGATTCAATCCAATCAATTTATACTCCACCCGTTCAATCAAACAATCAAGACGAACTCTCTCAAGAACGCTGTTGTATATATTTCCAGAAAATACAATAATATATACATATATATATACATATAACCTATATATCGTCATCTCAAAATCTATCCCAAAATACAATCAGTCAAAAGTCGTCCATTGTACATACATATATACAAAAAGAAATAAATCAATATAGATATCTATATACAAATCCCACATCAAGGGCTCTGTGTGCTATCTAAGGAATATGAAATAAACACAAAATACAATATATAAATACTATATACCCACTCGTACTACTCCCCGTTCATTATCTTATGCATATATATATTTATGTCTTCCTCCCATTGTTTTTGTGAGTATACAAAAATGTTTAAGCTTTTCATTTCAATATTATTTTCGTTGTCCATAACATTATTTGACTCTTAACCCTTAATCCTTAACCCGTAACCCTTAATGAGCATGCGCTAAAATACTAATACTTACATATTTATTAATTCCTAATTTGATCGGTCAAAGGATCTTAATCTAACTGTCCTAGAGTAAATCAAGCTCGTATTCATAACATCTCCATATCAATCATATCTACTCTCATTCACATTAAATCGGATACAATTACACACATATACAATCATAGTAATGAAACTGTCTTAAAGGATTACAATATCGCGCGTTAAAGGATTACAAGTTAACTAAAGAACAAGGATTATACAAATATATACATATAACATATAAAACTAAAGGAACAACAAAAAAAACCAACCAATAACAACAAAACTACAATTTCAGAACTATAGTTCAAGATGTGCAACAGCTGAATTCGGCTATTTCGTAAATGTAAGTAAGATTCAAATATGGCAAAATGTTCTAGGAGCCGCCAGACCTAAGTCAACGGCCTTCCAATACGAGCATTCGCAAGCCTGGTTTATAAACAAATCAGCGAAAAGTCATTGACCGAATTCGTTTCCGATATTACTCACCTGTTATGAAATACAACGCAATACATAGGACTGTTTTGTTAGGGGGATGAGATAATGTCAATACAACTGAGAGCTGAGAGTTAAGAACTGAGAGCTGAGAACTGACAGCTGAGAACTGGCACCTGAGCTTTACTTATGAGACAATTGCGAATTTCACAAGTAAGCGCGTGTCTATAACGTATTCAAATAAAGCTGCTGTGAATTTACAGTTACAGTAGCAACACAATACATAAATAACTGATATATATATAGAATTATTCAAATCTGAACAATATCAATTTGAAATTCATTTCAGTTGATTTGATCATTTTAAGATCGGGTCTCAGGTCTCAAACGTAGATAATCGCACCGTTTGACCCCGACCCAAAAGCTAAGACCCAAATAAGAAAACTCTTAACTGCACTCGGAAGTAAAGGTTATTTTAATTTTTACAGCTAAGATTGTTGCTAAGCGCTTTTGCCGAGCTAAAAATAAATCATAAAAAACCGTTTGTTTGTCTACCAAAATGGTCTAAAATACAACAGCAACAACAACAAGAACAACTACGGCAATGGCAGCCAAAAAAAAAAAAAAAACTAACACACATACACACATTTATATATATGAGCACACGTACACCTCAGCAACAACAGTAGCGGCTGTTTGTACCGTTATATGACGCAAAATTACGCTTACTCATTCAGCGAGGCGGCGGCTCCAGAAGCAGAGAGGAGAGCCCAAAAGCCGGAGTCACAGCCGTCAAAGTCAAGCTGGGAGCGCATCACCAAATAGGCACAGCTGCTACAGCAACAACAACAGCAACAGCACCACTAAGAACAGCATGCCGAAGCTTAAATACTCTTTATTGAGAAGCTACGGTTGATAAATGAGTTAGATGACAAAGGAGACGGTGTCAATTAGCAGAATTTCAGATGTAGGAAATATTCAGAGAGATTTTCAATAAGCCTGAAGAAAAATGGTTATTATTTATATCTTCTCTATAGGTCATCTGCTAAAATGTAATCCAGTTATAGGTGGCTCAGTTGAGAGTTAAGACTAAGGATAATTAAAGTACTCATTAGTAAAGTAAAATATATAAATAATAGATTTATTTGTCCACACGTGGCAAACGCAATGCCTAAATCGAAATACCCTCTAGAAGGGTATACCCTATAACTTTATAAGCGCTGCGGCGTCAATGAGCGTAGCGAATCCGACTGCGCATTAAGTTGCATTTCGGTTGAAGCAGGAGGGACTTAAGATTTTTCAGCTTTTCTTTCGGCTTTTCATCTCTTTAATTGAACTTTTTTGTGTATTTTCGAACAAATCAATTAAGCGCGCTTCGATGTGAACTGCGACGGCTTTGCGGCTTCAACATATCAATTACCAAAGCAGAGGAAACTAAGACCAAATTAAATAATTGCTCTCCTAGATTTATCCACGGCTGCTGCTCAATTTTATTAATTACTTTTTTTTCTCAATTTTTTTTATGTTTCAATTTCGATGTGAATCAAACGGAATTCTTCGGTTTATTCTGTTACACAGGTCGATAATCGCATAACTGTCGCATGGCTGTTGTCATTGCCAAATATTTATATTAATTTATTATGCAATGCGATTTAGTTGTTAATTATCTCTGGAATATTCTTACTAATAATCCCGTTGAGAGCTTGGAATATGCTTTTATGTTCAATTTGCACATTTTGCTAGTCCAAAATCAAAATACTACGCAAATATCTATATGTATATGTATATAAACCAACAACAACAGCAACTACAACAACAACAACAATATCAATAAACAAAAATTTTTAGACGCGCGCTTTTAAAAAGTTCGCTGACCCGAGCAATGTTTTGGGTTTTCGGGGATTCAGCTGGCCAGACACGCCGGACTGTTGTCTTCATTGTTGTTGCCGGTTCAGATGACCACATTAAGCTTTAAAATATTGTCTCTTACCATGCAGATGAGCCGCCAAATACCCTGTAGTCAATTCAGACAATTAAATATATGAGAAAAAGACGAAAAAAGAAAACAAAATTTGAAAAAAAAAAAACATTTCAAATTGAAATATATATTTTTTATTTAAATATTAAATTAAAATTTTTAAATTTAAATAAAATATATATGTAAAACAATCATAATATTCAAAACAAAACAATTTAATTAAATTTTATATATTCATTTTATCAATGTAATACATAAAACTTAATATATTAATAATTAAAATTCCAATATACCCTAAACAACAATCACACAAACTACAGGGCATTCCAAGTTTCGGCACGCAACCAGCGCATGAGGCACGAGGGCGTCATTTAAATAACAACAAAGTAAAAACCAACTAAAAATAGTTAAACATCATAAAAATTTGCATAGTTGTTGTTAGTTGTCGGTTGGCTGGGTTGTTGTTCGGTTGTTCGGTTGTTTGGCTGTTTCACTGTTGGTTTGCTCGGCTAGTTAGTGGGACCAGCTAAGACACAGGGTGTGGTGATGCCACAACAAGTCTTGAGCAGACCTCTTCCCCAGCCTCGACCATTAAAATAGCGCCAAGCCTCTTCAGCTCAGCAAGCTGACCGCGCTGCCATTTGAGTTTATCGCCGCGCTGTCATCTCCCTGCAAAGGGACACCTAACGGAGTTAGCACTGTACAGGCACTGTGCGAGCATTTAATACTGCCTCCATTCATAAAATAACTCAACTACGATTAATTGAAACACGTTTTCAAGTCCGTACAGTGGGTTACATTTTGCTCGTTACTTTGTAGCTCGCATAGATTATATAGTAAATCAATATATAATTGATATGTCAAAATATCATATTTCATATATAAACTGACCCTGCATAGAAATGTACAAATTGATATGGGTAGATCATTATTGATATTTAGATATAAATAAATAAAAGTGTGAATATATATATTGAAAAATAGTTATGGATAGATAATGATATATGAGAGAGAGATTGTCGAATACCCTGATATGGATCTCTGGATATGCTTTGATAGTGTGAAATTAAAATTAATTATTTTGTTGTAACTTGATCTTTCTAAAATCTTTCTCCACTTTTAAGTCGGCTCATAATTTATTGTCTTCGCCATTTCGAACTTTGCTCCACTTCCAGCGCGACAAATTTTAAACGTGTTTTTACTTCTGTTTAGCATATATGAAAAACATTTTAAGTTTTTTTTTTTTTTCATTTTTACATTTACATTTCTACTTTTTCCACTCGAATCAATGTCCAGTTCCTTTGGCCAGCAACTGATCCACTTAATATCAAACTCAATTTACACCTGGAGCATTATTCATATGCAGCCACGCCGCCTTTTCCCCGCCACACGCCCTCTTAATTTTTTTTATGAGCCTAATTCCATTGGCAACGCCCACCACTGAACGACAACGAACGACGTGGTCCAGTTTAAGTCAGAGCCCACACCTTCTAGCCAAGTCTGGGGCCAGCGGCAGTTACCAATGCAGTTGGAGTTAGTGGCAAAAACAGCAACAACAACTCCACACGTGCCACATGTGCTGTCAAGTGCGCAGCAGCATAAGCAGCGAACACGTCTTCGTCTCCCATTGTTGCCAGTTGCCAGTTGCCAGTTGCCAGTTCTTGGTATTTTGTTGGTGCTGCTGCTGCTGCTCGCTCGCAACAATTTGCTGCATCCACATTTACAGCTTAAGATAAAGTCGGCGATGGAGTGGAAGCTGGAGCCGGAGCCGACGACGGAGCTGAGGCTGAGGCTGAGGCTGAGCCAACCTTCAATGAGTGATGGCGACCTCAATGCCAGCCCCACGTTTTCTGAGGCTGTGGCTGCTTTTTTTTCGGCTTCTCGGTCTTGGTCAAAGTTGGTTTGCTTGGAAAACCGCTTGGCAGCCTTGCAGAGCTGTTGTTGTTGTTATTCTGTTGTTGTTGTTGTGTTGTTGTTGTTGGCATTGTACGTGCGGTTTTCCAAGTGGAAATCGTTGCGGTTGTAAATTTTGCAATCAAATAATTTTTCATTCGCTTTTTCCGACGCCAGCGCGCGACCTGATTTTTCTTTTCATTTTAGCCGCAGCAGCAGCCGCCGCCGTCGCTGCCACAGAGATGCTTAAAAAAAAAGTGTTTGCCTGTTTCGGGTCCCCTCCGTTGGCCATTTGGTGTTTTAGCTGGCTGGAAAAACGTTTTGACCTTTGCCGCTTTGTTCGTGTTCGAACATTTAAACGGAAGTTGATTGCCGCCAAAGGTTAAACTCAATTTCCGTTAAAGCCACAGCCTCAGCCTCAGCCGCACTGCCAGCTCCAGCTCCAGTCTCAGTTTGGACCGCGTCTTTGGACCATATTTTAGAGCCAAGTTAAGAACTCAATTTCTTAACAATTGGCAGCAGCTGTTCGAGGGGTTCTCGTTGACGGCTTGTTGCGGTTATTGTTGTTGCTCCAGCTTTAAGTAGTTGTTCGAGTTGAAAAGTTCAATTCACAGAGTTCACGAGAATCAAGGGAGAGAAATTTCAAAAGTTCTACAATGAGTAATATGCCTCTGTCTTCTTAGGCATAACACACATACCACTACATTGACATATATAATGTCAATTCAATCACAGCTCATTTATAATTACTTAACGGCTTTTCAAGTGCGCCCACCAGCTGACCGAGTTATTCGAAATAAAGAGCTTTCAGCTCAGGGTCATAAAATCACTCGCATGTCAAAAATTTGCACTAATTCATTCAAAATAACCGTTAATATCGCCCAACTCATGCACATACACACACACACATACACACGCACACACACACTAACAGTAACAGTAATTATAATGCCCACAGCAATCGTCCGAGCCCCAAATGTTTAACTCTCTGGCCATAATCTGAAAATCCCATTTACAAGCTCAAATTACAATAGAGGCGCATTGTTGGCTTTTGTTGTTGTTGTTGTTATTGTTGTTGTTGTCGTAGTGTGGCGCACCCACGCAATTTACGTCTGTGTGTCTGTGCGTATGCGTCTGTGTAGGTGTAGGTGCTGGGGCCATTCAAATGCAAAAAGAGCAGCGAACAACCGTTACAATGTGCCTCATTAAAACAAAAAATGAAAATAAAATAAACGAAAATGTTGAGTAGCCACAGTAACAACAATAAAACATTAGCAATAAAAGTACAAAAATGTGTAAAAAGTGACGCCCAGCTGAACAACAAAGAATATCAGAATATCTGTAAAATATTTCACGCCAATCTCCTAGGCGCATCGCAAACGTCACTCAAATACAATCAAAAACCTGACACATTATGAAAAATTCATTAAATCGAAATTGTTAGACATCGCATAGAAGAGTGAATAACCCATGGGCAGGAGTACACAATATACATATGAATACAGTAAAAACCGAAAAATGTGAGTTCTAGATATATAATATAAATAGATGTAGATACAGATATACATTTATGAATAAATAGACATAGATTTAGGTATATAAATATAGATGTAGATAGAATCAGAAATATTGATAAATAAAAAGATATGGAATAAAATCTTGGACAATCGTTGAGAACAGCTAGTTAATTAAATATAGAAGGAAATACATAAGATAGATACTTTATTAAAAGTCATAGGCCAGATTGCATTAATATAGTGTTAAATCAAAATTAAATAATTAAATCAAATTATTTATAGATAGATCGTTTGACGGTTGGCTATATTGTTAGAAGTATTTGGATAGATGATAGGAGGTGCAAAATATAAATATAAATAGATACTGTGTAGATGGTAGAAGTGTTTATCCTATGTATATGTATATATATTGATATATAAATGCATATATAAATTTATAAGAAAATGTATAAAGATAAATAAATAGAATTTTCTATTTTGGCAGTCTTTTATATATTTTATATATTCATTAAGGATGGATGAATCAGTAGAAAATACATATATATATATATATATATATATATATGTTGATATGTATAGATTTAATTACGTGTATATTCAAAATGTATTTAGTTGGATAACAATTACTCACACGTAAGAAATTTATATCTTTATAATATATAATAATGTTCATATGTGAAATATGGAATAGAATTACTAAAAATGCACCTATTTATTAATAGCATTATCTGTAGCTATTAATTTAATTAATTTGCTTTCGTCTATAGCAGTAGCTCGTATAATTGTGTTTTCCTTAATTTATTCCCTAATAAAATACGCATAGAATCAACTTGGTTCTAGCTCACATTATTATATGTAGCTCAACATCATTAAACTTCTGACATTATTTGGATTTTACCTACACTATTTGCATAACAATCGATTCGTTTATTTTCTGCCTGTCAGGTGGAATTAATCCAATTTCAATTCAAACCTAGATATTGGCAGCCATTTTTCTTCGTTTTTTTTTTTTTATTATTTTTCTTTCTTCTTCTATTTGGTGTAAGTGCACGCAAAGTTGCGCTTGAGCTTGAGCTTTGGTCGAAGCTTCGTGGCAGCTTCGTCTCGGCTCTGCCGAACACGGAAGTATGTCAGCAGGTCTCTCGTGTAACGGTAGTTTGGCTGCTGCTGTTGCTGTTGCTGTCGCTGCCTCAGTCGCTGGCACGCTTAGCTGCGCATGCTTAGCTGACGCTAACGTCGCTGCCGCTGCCACTACCACTGCCGCTGCCGCTGGCGCAGTCGCTGCTGTTGCCTCTTCTGCTGCTCTTTGTTGGCGCTTTGCAGTCGGAGCTAGCAACATGTTGCTACGACAACCTGTTGAAAGCGAAATTGTCTCTCGCTCTCTCTCTCTCCTTTTTTCTTTCTCTCCGTCAGTATATCTGGCGCTGACCAATACCAAACGAGTCTAGCCGTGAGCGAGTGAGTATATTGGCCAATTTGGCTCTGTATGCTTTCTTCTTTCACACACACACACACACACGCACACACAGAGCCATACATGAATGTGGCCAAGCCTCAAAAACTCAACTTAACTGTTTATGCACAAAATGAGAAAAAGTCTTTTATTTTTGTTGGCTCATTTGCTTTACCGTTCGTTCGGTTCTCCCAAAACTGAACTTCTTCACTCGCACCTCGCAATTGTTGTTGTTAGAGTCTCGCAGTATTTCGGATTTTGTTTTTTGATTTTTATTCGATTGGCTCTTTGTATTGGTCTTGAATATTTTGTTGTGGCTGCTTTTTACTTTTTTGGAAATGTAGAAGGGGGGAGGGGGGGGGAGTAAAGGGGGATTGTAGAGGAGGTAGACGCGTACTCTGCACCTGTGTCGCACGATAGTTGTTGCTGTTGTTGTTGTTGCTGTACTTTCATTGTCGGTTCCTCATATCTTTGTCTGACTGTAGAGTCTATCCAAATACGATATGCCCGTCCCCTCGCCCATTAGCAGAGCTCAATATTCTGCTGCGTTTATTTCTACCAATTTATATGCTAATTTAACTGATTATTAATGTTGTGACCCAAATTCCATTTGGAAATTATTATTGGCCATTCGGGGTATCGATTTGTTGTTGTTGTTGTTGCTGTATCCCCCACTCTTCTCTATTTTTGGCCTGTCCGTCCGCTTCGTTATCTTGTCCCGAATGTCTCAACTCTGACTGCATTGGCATTTGGCGGCGTCTTCCCGTGAGTAATCGCCGCGTTAAATATGAAAAGCCCCGTGGAAATGTTTTGATATGCAGCCCAGTCGGACCCAAATGGACATCGATTCATTTTCGTTACGTTTAGAATACCTATCGAGATTTGTATTAAGCTTAGATTAGGGCTTGTTTGTCTGCCTCGGCGCAGCAAGCTGTCAGCAAGTGGCGCAGCTGACGCTGCATGAGCCACCTGCAGATCCCAAAGATTCTGTAAGACGGCTTATAACATAACAGAAGTTGCTTGTAAGCCCAGCTTAGTTGAAGCCCACTTAATGTGCATTTGGCCGCCACATTGATGAATATGCAAGAGCTAACTGAAAAATGTTTGGGAAAACAGTTACTCAACATATATTTTATTTATGAAACTTAACGATCTAAACATGAATTTTGTGTTAAGATGAGCTGAGAGCAGCTGAATCTTAGTCAATCAATCATGCTTGACTCTTTGAGCTTAGCTTATAGCTAGTATTCTGCATTTGGGAATAATATTTCGTTATAGAAATTACAATTTTATAATGCTTGCTTAATGAATTCGTAGAATAGTGTAATCTAATGTTAGCATATATTAATCTATATACAGTAATATTACTACAGTAAAGAACAGGTTCAGTGCTGCACAAAGGAATTGATTACCTAGTATATTCATCCACATTCCCTCGAGATTTAATCGCAACTACTAATTTGGATCTTTGTCATCTTCTTGCATATATTTACAGCATCAACTGAACGAATATTCAATACTTTGCGCAAGAAGAAAGACCAAAAATTTCTGTCCATCGCCTGGGTCAACTGACAATGAAGTTGTGCAGCATGAACGGGCCAAGTGAATCAGAAGTCGAAAGCCTACTGATGAGCCCCTGCTGGGGACCCACACAGACAAGCAGCCAGGATCAGTATCTGCTGGACGGACACAAGCTGCTGCTGGAGCACGAGCTCGATTCGCTGCCGAGCGATGCGGATCAGAAGAACTCACTGGATGTGCTGGATAATCTGCTGTTGAATAGCTCCTCGCTGAATGCCCTGTCCGACCTGAAGCCGCTGCCTCCGTTCACTGGCTACACCGGGCATCTGTCCATCAATGGCATCTCGGGGCATCACTATCACGCGATTGCCCAGCGGCTGCCCGACGAGAGCAATAACAACTACATACAGAGCGCCTACCAGCAACACCATCAGCATCAGCATCAACAGCAGCAACAGCACCAGCACCAGCACCAGCACCAACAGTCGAACAACAACAACAACAACAATCCGAATGCGAATCCCACGTCCACAACGGCAGCGACGACAACGTGCAGTGGGACAGGTGGGGTGGGCGGTGGCGGCGGGGGCGGCAGCGGAAACTCCTCGCAGGAGCACAATATCGTATCCTCATCCACCTGCCTGCCCGAGAGCGTGCTCAGCGCGGATGCGGACGCCTGCCTCAACGACGTCAAGCTCTTTGCCGATAGTCAGTTAGATTCTAAGCTCTACTCCGTAGCGGACAGCTGTGTTATAAACGCCCCCAATCAGGGCGGCAATGGTGGCGGCGGAGGTGTCTCCTCGCTGGCCAGCAGCGGGTCGACGCTGACACCGATCGACCAGGTGGCCGACTCGCTGCACGGCAGCGGAGTGCGCATCTACAAGGATCTGACCGAGTACGTGGACATGAATAGCATCGATGACATCGCCGCGATCATTGGGTCGGCGATAGCGGACACCACGGTGCCCAATCAGCTGGACAAGGAGGAGGGCAACGACACGCGCGACAGCTGGATGGATCTGGATGCCTGGATCGATGGCAACTGCATTCAGCCCGAGGGCAAGGTGCTCGTCTCTCAGCAGGATACGCTCAGCGACTTCATGCTGCCCCACTCACCGCTGCCGGTGCATGCGAGCAGCTCCACGCTGCAGAGTCTACTCAGCCATGGCTACATGCCGCTGCTGCAGAATCGCCTGCAGCACGGACCACCTGGAGCGGGCAATGCGCCCGGCAGCGGCTCCTCCGCGACGCTGAAAAGCGAGACGCCCAGTTCTACCTCATACTGCAACGAGCTGTCGGCAGCCAGCAGCAGCTGCAGTCCGCCGGGCTCGGTGGTCAGCACCACGGACAACAATCTGATGATCAATCCGCGCTATCTGACCAACAATCCCAATCCCAGCCAGCAACAGCAGCAGCAGCAGCAGCAACAGCAGCAGCAGCAGGCAGCCTACCAGCTGACGGCCAATGGCCTCTCCGGCACTGGGCTGAAGGACGGCGGGCTGTGCAGTCCGGACATGCTGAGCAATTATCCGCATACGACGAGCACCACAAACGCGCCCACGGGCACGCCCAAGGCCAAGCGGTCCAGGGCACAGAAGAAGTCCAGCCAGCAGCAGCAACAGCAGCAGATGCAGGGCGACAACGGGGCGTCACAGCTGAACGCCATGTCGCCGTCGGGCGTGGCCAGCTTCAATGCCAGCGATCTGAGCGGTCTGCTGGGCAAGGAAAAGCCGGTGCATCGCTGCAGCATCTGCAATCGCGGCTTCCTGAACAAGTCAAACATCAAGGTGCACCTGCGCACGCATACGGGCGAGAAGCCCTTCCGCTGCGACGTGTGCGCCAAGGCCTTTCGCCAGAAGGCGCACTTGCTCAAACATCAACAGATACATAAGAGAATTGGGCGTGACTGACCGCGGCCACAATCACAACCCGCTCGCCACTAGCAACAGCCACTACGATAGGCAGCAACTGTTTCTGCCCGCACAATTGAGCACTCAGTCGCTTCCGTGTGCTCTGCTTGAGAGAAAGTGCCCGCCAAAGCCACCCGCCCACCACACTCCACGCACCACTCTACGCACACCGCCATCGCGAGCCGAACTGGCAACTGGATGTGTGCATGGATGGGTCTTTGGGTGCGGCAGCTTCTCGTGTATCGCATTGCTTGACCAAAGCCACTGTGGTTCGCCTCTCGGCGTTCCCAGACCGTTTGCCATCCTCCTGCTGCTGCCCCACTCACAGTTCGCAGCTCGCAGCAGCAGGGTGAAGCAATGCCATACACATAGCACTTGATATTCGTTGTTGTTGGTTGCTTTTGATCTCTTCGCCTCCTCTGGTAGTTAGTCCAATGAATCCGGTTATAGGTAGCATATGTAGTATACGGTCTAGCCAAAATATATCTAGATGAATCAACGTTGTTAAACATTTTCCATCATGATTGAAAAGATTTAATGTCCATAAGGTTTTTACAGAAATTTAATTATATATTTATTTGTCTTTTTTATGGGGTTTAATATCAACCTACTACCTCTATAATGTTGTTGGCACACTCTGAATTTTTTGTGGAAATTTTTGAAGCCTGATAAAAGCTGCAAAAATAAAGAAAAGGTTTTTGAAAACAATAATCAGACTTTATTTTTTTATCGAAAACTTAACGCATGCTTAGTATGAATCTAAAAGAGAAGATCTAGCTAGACGTGAATCCCGTGTGGTATATGAAAATATGATATGCAGTTAAAAGTAAAACATATGTGAGCAGTTCTTATAATGGATGCAAAACGCAGCAGCTGGAGACATTTTGTTAGAGCAAATGGAAAAAAATTTAACAGGCCCTATTTTCGGAAATCTATATTTTAGTTTATATAAAAAAAGAATAAGGAAAATGCCTCAGGCAAAGAGACCACAAGCAATGTAAGAACAACGAAGCGTCCAATTGTCTTTTTGCAACTGTTGTTCTGTTTTGATGCAATCCTGCGCGCTTCGAGCACCTAAGGTCCTGGCACAGGTATAAAATTATATAATAATAAGAATAATGGAATTAGTATTAAGAAAGTAGCTAGAATTTAGTTAAACTCTAGCCGAATGTATGTTAAGTAATTGCATAAATAAGATGATTTGTATGTACCTCAAGAAGAAGATAAAAAGAAAAATAATAGAAGCAATACAATTATAAATTACAATATTAATAATAATAATAATAATAATGATTATACTAAGTAAATGTACAAATCAAACAAAAATAATTATATATAATCATATATTTATAGATACATATATATATGTTTCATAAGTTGTAGCGGGCTTGGCAAAATAACAATATTTATTAATATAAAATAAAAAAATTAAAAATTTAAAAAAAAATGCAAAATTAAAAAAAAAACATGAAAAGCAAAAAGAAATGCATATTAAACATAATTATGAAATAGTAAAGTACTCAAGTAATAAATTTTATTACACCTACATTTAAATGTTGTTAATTTGTTTTTTAATCAATTTGTTGTTAAACGTTACAATTAAATGGAAAATCAAACATATGTCCAATAAATCATATTCTAAATATATTTATTCTCTTGTGCGCAAATCTTGAAAATATTTATGCCTGCAAATCCCTAGCACACATATGATAAATAAAATATTGTTGAAGCTATTTATGTAAGCAAACAAAACAAAAGAGCATAAGAAAAGTTATTAAAAAAAAAAAAGAAACAAAATAAAATATAATTAAATACAAATAATAATTTATAACTTAACCCATATTTAATGTTATTTTAGTTTTGTGCAATTTATTTATTCAAGTTGAAATTCCGTTTGTACTTCTAAACACAATTCGATTGTAAATATTTATTTTGTCTAATGTTTAATGTTGATCTAATTAGAAATACAACATTTTGTCATTTTAAATGTACAAAAATAATATATTTCAAAACAGAAAACGATTCGTTTATTCCACATCAAGTATACGCCGTATGGCGCTGCATATGGGTAAGATCACACACACACACACACACACATGCGATTGCAGCTCAAGTTAGTCTCGTTCGAGTGGTTCTTCTTGGTGTCCGCATTGCTTATGCCGCACGCATCACGGAGGAACCTGACATGCCAGCCAGCCAGAGTGTGCCAGCAGCAGAGTAGGTGCGAGCAGCTATGGTAAAATATGCAGTCGAAGACAACGACAAAAAGAGCAAAGAAAGAAACAAGAAAAAAATAAAAATAAAACGAAGCAAAGCAAACCAAGCCAAACCAAGTCAATCCCAGTCGAGTCAGAATCATTATATTGACCACAAATGCCGCCGCCACGAAAGCAATGCAAAGAGTAAAGAGCCAAAGGCAAAGCCCACACAGATACACACGCACACACACAGGCACACATACAGATAGATAGAGATGGAGCGACAGAGCACGGCACCAATACAGCAACAAAATGCCATGCATACTGTGCCACTGACCCAATTTCCAGACTCGTTTTTTTCCATCGAGAGAACCGCACGAAGCAAGAGCAGCGGCAGCGGCAGCGACTGTGGCAGCCACAACGGATTTGAAATGTTAACTGGGAGCGCGGCAATAAGATACAAAGATACTTTGCCCGGTCGCATGCTCTTTCACCGCAGAGACGCAGACCCAGACACAGACACAGGCACAGACACAGGCACAGAAAGAGCTCAAGCTTCAGCTCCAGCTCCAGCTATACGAGTCTGGAGTTTGTTTGCATCGCATCGCATCGCATCCGCATTTCTATGCTGTCTTTGTATATTTGTCTTGGCTTGGCTTGGCTTCGTTTGGGTTTGCTGCTGCGGCTGCTGCATGTATCTGTAACTCGTTTCTGTATCTTGCGCCTCGTATCTGTGGCACTTAAATTTATGCAACATCATGGCAATGTCGCTGACTCCTCAGAGCCCCCGCTCTTGCATAGTGTCCACGTTTTGTTCTTCTAATCAAAATGTGCTACGTGCTCAGCTCGGCGCTCGTGTCAAAGGTCAAACTTAAGTATTAGCAACTGGGCAACATCAAGTCCAAGTCCAAATCCGTATCGGAATTCAAATTCTGATTCAAAACAACAAATTAGCAATCGCATCTGCCGCAATTCGTTGAGCTGGGCAGCATCTTTCTCTCATCTGTTCATTTCTCTTTATTTTTTGGCGTTTTTAATTGAGTTTTTGTATTCCCATTAAATGTAATTTTCTGCCCATTCGCTTTGGCTTAGTGCCCATCTTAGTCGCTGGCCGAGCACGACCCACTTTCTGGCCAAGATTTCGACTGGCTATCCCACAAGCCAGCCAAGTCATTTGCGACATTTATGGCCAGCAATGAGCGTGGGTGCTATTACCGAGCTACGCTAACTCAGCTGCCACAGAATGATATGTTTATATATCTAAATAATTGGACAAACTCGGACTCAGATAATAATCGCCATAGGGAGTAGCTAAACAGCAGGGTAGATCGTGCATAATGTTCACAAGAGAACCGAACCTGCAAATGGGCAAGTAGGAAGTGCTCAGATTCCCTAAAAGCTGGAATATTCTTCATCTTATATATGATTTGATTTTTATGTATGTAGTAAGATATGTATATAGACTAATACAACTAAATATCTAGTTCTTCCGCTGCCTACATTCGAGTCAGTGCAAATAACATAAATCCCCATGATATATCTCTATCAGAAATATAGAAGTCATACAGAATTTTGTCAAACAAATATATATAATAGGTTTCCTCAAATAATCTTCATACAAAATTATCTGGCCTGGTCTGGAGACAAATGTGGACAATGCTGCTCTAGCTCATTTTAAGCTAATGCATTTTTACAGGGTATCTGAAACAAAGCCAAAGCCAGCCAACGCCTTTCGCCTGCTGCTGCTGCTGCTTTTTGTTGTTGCTGCTGTCTCCAGTTGAAAAAAAAATAGAGACAGTGCGACAGTGGAACGACTGGACAGAGAGACATTACAATAAAGTTAGCAAAATGGCAATGGCGACGCCTATGTCGCTGTCGCTGTCGCACTCGCTGTTGCCGTCGCAGTTAACTTTGTCGCATATTGTCCAGCAGTTGTAACTGTTGCTGCTGATGTTGCTGTTGTTATTGTTGAGCTGCTGCTGCTGCTGCTGTTGCCGCTGCCGTGGCGCAGTTAAAGACACAATGACCTTGGGTGAAAGTTGCTCTCCATTTCTATTTTGTGCTTTGCTGTTGTTGCTGCTGTTGCTGTTGTTGCTGCTGAAATTGTTGTTGTTATTGTTGGTATTTACTAGTTGCTGGCATGCCATTTTCATATACACGTCTCTCGGCGTGCGTGTGTTGATATTTATTGTTATATTTATTCTTGTCACCGTTGTTTGTGTCTCTATCTGCGTGTGTATTTGCTTTGAATGCTGTTGCTGCTCCCCTTTAGCTTTGTCTTTTTACACTCAACATGATTTGTTTTCGTTGTTGTATTTTGATTTATCTCTGCTGTTGTTGTAGTTGCTGCTGCTGTTGCTGTTGCTGTTATTTTGATTACTTTTGCTCTTGATTGAGGTGGCTTTGATGGATGCACATGAAAAGTTCGACAACGAGCTGGCGCTGAAACAGAAACACAAACACAGACACAGAAACAGAACGGAAGTGGCTCGCGTGCAGGAAATCGAAACGAGGCAGAAGACAGAAGGCAGAGGCGATTGCGATTGCGAAGGCGAAGGCGGCGGTGGAGTAGGTGAGAAAAGGCCAAAATAGAATTAAGCAATTGCTTACAGCGATCCAAGTTTTTGGCCAACCACACCACACACACACACACACACTTATATATAAACGAAATATTTATAATTTATGCGCTCGGCTTTTGCATTGAATTGTCGAAGCATAAGAAAACCAAAAGAATTATAAACTTTAAGATTGGCGTCGATTTCGCAATGCGCAGCGGCGTCTTCACGCCTCGTCGGCCAGCTGACCAAGATTCTAGGCAGAATAAATCATGGCTATAATTACGTTATATTATATTAATATTTAAGCACTGTGCCAGTTTTTGGCCTCTTGTTTTTGCTCTAACTCCAACGCCAACATCGCCAACTCTAAACTTTAATTAACTGCAAAAGCAAACAGTGCACAACGAGAATCTTACGAAATACCCAATTTCAATTCAGTTTTTTTTTTACTATACCATATTATATGAATTATGTTTGACTTAAATTAAGATTAAGTTAAATTCAATGTAAATTTCCGAAATAAGTATGAGCTTACAAAAAATTCTATTTGTTCAGTAACAACGTTTTGTCGATAAGTCAGATGATATTCATGTACCCATTGCAATCAAAGACTGAACTGCTTAAGCTTGAATGTATACTATTTCTGACCGTAAATGAATTCTGCTTCCAGTTTCTCTTCAGCCCAACTTAAATTCTCAACTTAAAAGTCTTGTTAATCCACTCCGATTCCAACTAACCTAAAAATACT